TTATTCCAAGGGACCATTCCAACGGGTCTTACCGATACTAATATATGTCTAATCCCAAAAGTTGATAAGCCAAACCAGATGAGTCAACTTCGACCCATCAGTCTGTGCAATGTGTGCTATAAGATTATCTCAAAGGTTTTATGCCAAAGACTTAAAAAGGTTCTTCCAGACAGGATTTCTGAAACCCAGTCAGCCTTTGTTGCTGGGAGACAAATTTCAGACAACATTATGATAGCTCAGGAATTGTTTCATGCCTTAAGAACAAAACCGAGTGGGCGCAATAAGAGGATGGCAATCAAGACAGATATGAGTAAGGCATATGATCGGATGGAATGGTCTTTCATTGAAGCCACCATGAGGAAGATGGGATTCTCCGAGATCTGGATATCCTGGATTATGAGATGTGTAACGACAGTAAAGTATAAGGTTCTCATGAATGGTCAGCCACGAGGAAATATTGTCCCAGAGAGAGGTCTTCGCCAGGGAGATCCTTTGTCCCCTTTCATTTTTATTCTATGCACGGAAGCGCTCGTTAGCCTTCTTAATCACGCAGAGAATCAGGGAAAGATAACGGGGATGCGCATCACGCGTGCGTGTCCTTCGGTATCCCACCTGTTATTTGCTGATGATAGCCTGTTCTTTTGTAAGGCGGAGCCCCGTGAATGTGAAGAAGTAATGAAAGTAGTTACAAAATATGGAAATGCTTCTGGCCAATGCATCAATTTTGACAAGTCTTCCTTACTCTTTGGTAAGAGGATCGGCCTAGAGGCAAGGCAGGAGATCAAAGATACACTTGGGATACAGAATGATACAGGAATGGGAACCTACCTAGGGATACCAGAGGACATTAGTGGTTCGAAATGCAAGTTGTTCGCATTCTTAAAAGACAAACTTCGGAACAGAGTGAATGGATGGACGGGTAGATGGTTATCCAAAGGAGGAAAAGAAGTTATGATCAAGTCGATTTTGCTGGCTCTTCCAACATATGTCATGTCTTGCTTTTGCTCCCATTGGAGATTTGTGATGCCTTGGCTAGTGCCATTGCACAGTTTTGGTGGAGCTCAAATCCACCAAAGAGAGGCCTACACTGGACAACATGGGACAAGTTATGTAAGCCCAAGGAGGAAGGTGGAATTGGATTCAGGATGATACATGAGTTTAACCTAGCATTACTTGGGAAGCAGCTATGGAGGTTGGCGCAAAACCCGGACTCACTGGTTGCTCGTGTTATGAGAGGGAGATATTATAGACAGAGTTCGCCTTTGCGAAAGCTCACTGTTAATTGTCCATCGTATGTGTGGACAAGTATCTCGGCTGCACGGGAGTTTGCTATTGGGGATTAGACAAAAAATCCATTTAGGATATGAAGTAAAGGTATGGGAGGATCCATGGATTCCCACAACCCCAGCAAGACCAGCGCAGGCATTAGCTCCGGTGATGAATCCAAATATGAGAGTGAGCGACCTTATCAATCAAGAAACAAAGTCGTGGGACCTTAATCGTTTGGCACAATATGTGGACACTGATGATATACCTCTCATAAGGAGTATGGCGATAAGTTCAACCCACCATAGAGATACTCACTGCTGGAGTTACACAAGGAGTGGGCAATACACAGTCAAGTCTGGGTACTGGGTAGCTCGTAATTTACTAAGGAAGGAGGAGGAGAATTTGGTGGAGGAACCTAGCATTAAAAGGCTTCAAGAACAAGTTTGGAAGGCTAAGGCACCCTCGAAGATGTGTCATCTTATGTGGCAGGTCATCTCGGGACAGGTGGCTGTAACGAGCGCTCTGAATCATAGACATGTGAGATGCGATAACTTTTGCCCACGATGCGGAGAACCGGATGAAACAATTGCACATGCAATTTTCCTATGCCCACCGGCTTTACAGGTTTGGGCCCTATCATCTATACCTTCCAGCTCATCCTTGTTTCCTTTGGAGAGTACCTATGCGAATATGGATTACCTATTCTGGCGGAAGAAGGCCATCTGTGGGCCGGATATAGACAAGGATCCTTATCCTTGGCTTATATGGTACATTTGGAAGGCTCGGAATGACAAGTTGTTCAGAGGAATAGATAGAGATCCGTTGGAGTTGGCCCGGTATGCAGAGAGTGAGTGTCTTGCATGGTTCCAAGCCAATGAACAGGGTGTTGAGATTACACAGGGGGATGGTAATTCAGATTCGCAGGCCATAAGCCTACGTGATATCTGCATGATAGATGGTTCTTGGACCTCTGTTGATCAATTCTCCGGTTGTGGTTGGGACTGGAAGGATAGCAAGGGCGACAGTCAATTAATGGGGATGCGCAATGTGAGCAGAGTGGAGTCGGCGTTGCATTCGGAGCTGGAAGCGCTGCGGTGGGCAATGGAGAACATGCTTCAACATTCGCCATGTCAGAGCTTTGGGACGGACTGCAAGGATTTGCTAGCAATGCTCAAGGATCCCCATGGATGGCCAAGTTTTTCAACGGAACTAGAGNAAAAAAAAAAAAAAAAAAAAAAAAAGTATATATAATTTTTCTAAAGTTTATAATAATAACGCATATCATTTCAATGCTTTATAGTTACATCAATAATAATATTTATAGAGCCACTTCCACATCATCTTTGTCCCCTTAACAGAACTCTCATTTTTCAATCTAAACTCACACACAAAAAATTGCATCATGGGTTACGATAGGCTCGGACCATCAGGTTCGGCAACAAACCCAAACCAGAAAGACCCTGCCACGTCACTCCCGGAGCAACAGAAGAGAACCAAGAAGACGAAGCTGATTCTCTTCACTCTAGCGATACTAGTTGTCGCAGTGGTCTGCTTCGGTATCTTTGCCGGCATCCGAGCCGCAGGTTCGGATCAACATGCTCCGAAACTAAACCGTAAACCGACCCGAGAAATATCCCAAACCTGTAGCAAAGCCCAATACCCTAACCTCTGCATCGACACGCTTCTCGACTTCCCGGAAGCTTTAACCGCCGACGAGAAACAGCTGATCCACATCTCCTTCAACGCCACGCTTCAGAGTTTCAGCAAAGCTCTCTACTCATCGTCGACCATCTCATACGCTCAGATGCCGCCACGTGTACGATCAGCTTACGACTCATGTCTCGAGCTGCTGGACGACTCAGTCGACGCGCTTTCACGCGCTCTCTCCTCCATCGTCGCCGCCTCTTCCTCCGATGAGTCTCACTCCGACGTGATGACGTGGCTTAGCTCTGCGATGACTAACCACGACACGTGTACTGAGGGATTCGACGAAGTCGGAGACGGCGGAGGAGGAGTGAAGGATCAAGTGATCGGAGCGGTGAAGGACTTGTCGGAGATGGTGAGTAACTGTTTGGCGATATTCTCCGGCAACGTCAAAGATTTGAACGGAGTTCCGGTGGTGAACCATAGGAAGTTGCTTGGGAAAGAAGAAACAGAGGAGTTTCCGAGTTGGTTGAAGAGAGGAGACAGAGAGCTTCTCGGTACTCCGGCGACGGAGATTCAGGCCGATATCACGGTGTCTAAAGACGGTAACGGCACTTTCAAGACGATCGCGGAAGCGATCAAGAAAGCGCCGGAGCATAGTAGCCGACGGTTCGTCATCCACGTCAAAGCAGGAAAGTACGAAGAAGAGATTCTCAAGGTCGGGAGGAAAAAGACGAACTTAATGTTCGTTGGAGACGGCAAGGGTAAAACGGTCATAACCGGTGGTAAAAGCATCGCCGATGACCTCACTACTTTTCACACCGCAACTTTCGGTAAAAACGGGCAAACTTTTATGTCTTTTGGAAAACTTTTTTGTCTTTTTTTAGTTAATGATTTTTTTTTTATTTACTTTTTGCTTTCATGTAGCCGCGACGGGAGCTGGATTTATAGTGAGAGACATAACGTTCGAGAACTACGCCGGACCGGCGAAGCACCAAGCGGTGGCGCTCCGTGTCGGCGGAGACCACGCGGTGGTTTACCGTTGCAGCATTATTGGTTACCAAGACGCTCTCTACGTACATTCTAACCGACAGTTTTTCCGCGAATGCGAGATTTATGGAACGGTCGATTTTATATTCGGAAACGCAGCTGTGATCTTACAAAGCTGTAACATCTACGCACGTAAGCCAATGCCTCAGCAGAAGATCACTATCACAGCTCAGAACCGGAAAGACCCGAACCAGAACACCGGGATATCAATCCACGCTTGTAAGCTACTAGCCACGGCTGATCTTGAAGCCTCCAAAGGGAGTTTTCCGACGTATCTTGGCCGTCCGTGGAAGTTATACTCTAGAGTTGTGTACATGATGTCGGATATGGGCGATCATATTAACCCGAGAGGATGGTTGGAGTGGAACGGTCCGTTTGCGTTGGACTCTTTGTACTACGGTGAGTATATGAATCGAGGGCCGGGATCAGGTACGGGCCAACGAGTCAAATGGCCTGGTTATCATGTTATTACTTCAACGGTCGAGGCAAGTAAGTTTACGGTGGGTCAGTTCATTGGAGGATCGTCGTGGTTGCCATCCACGGGCGTTGCCTTCTTCTCTGGGTTGTCACAGTAAGGCTGCCTCAGCCTTGTATGTAACTAATATACGAAAGAGTTTATATACAACAAATGTTTCTTTTTAAGTGTATTTTATTATATGACAGGACAACTTCTTGAATGAAATAAAGATTATGATTTATATATTCTTTCGAACTCTTTGCTCAGAATGAAACATATATTTAGAGCAACATTATTATTGGTAGAACTCACCTAAAGTTCTTAAAAATGAAAAATTAATATTTTTAATTAACAAAATTAGTTGATCATCTACAAATTGACACAGAGAAATAAGTTCTAAAAATTCAGAGGAAAATCTCTGCAGAGAACCTATCTTAATTCTCTCTCATACTTTATCTATTTTCATTAATGTGACAATGTTAAGATACTCTCTCAAATGCAACCAATCGAGCTGCTCTTATAGAGTACAAGCATGAATGATAAATCATGATTCTTAATCAAGGGAGATTTCTTCGTTTTCAACTTTAAGATAGGTTAATGCAAAAACGTTACATCATCATTGATCAATGTGCAAACTGTGCATCCTTGTGTTTTGTTTCTTTCTTTCATTTATGTACATTATTAGAACACGATAAGATTAAGCATACAGAGAGATACATTTTACCAGATGATACATTACATACTGGCTACAACGGAGGGAATATCTGCCTCCCCCTCAATTTCTCCATCTGAACCCTCCTTGGTCGTCTGCAACAGTTTAGCACAAGACACGGTTATCAAATGTTAGACGGTTAAACTAAAACCGGGATTGGTTTCTTCAATTACTGGGTGGTGGTACCTGAGGGGAAACCTTGGATTTGGTGGTTTCAGAGAGATAAAGAGCCAAAGCTCCTTTACCACGGAGAATCTTAGCTCCAGAGCCTCTACGCCCTTCTCCTTCTACTGCTTCTTCGTCCACCACAACCGCCTCTATCATATCCTTCCCTTTACCCTCGTCCGGTATCTGAGAAAATTACATGGTTAAGTGACTTAACGTGAACATGGGTTTGTAAGTAATACTATAAGAGGTAAGAACATACCTCGTACATAGAATCCATGAGGATGCTTTCCAAAAGAGCTCTTAAGCCACGAGCACCTGTGTTTTTCGTTATTGCTTTTCTAGCTATTAGCCGCAGCGCCTTTTCCGTAAAATGTAGCTTTACCTGAAGAATGATGAGACAGAGATTTGTTTAAAGATTTTGAGTAGAGAGAGCCCGAGAAATGACAGAAGAGAGGAGTAGTTACACTATTCATTTGGTACATCTTTTTGTATTGCTTTCCAAGAGCGTTTTTGGGCTCGGTAAGCACCTGCAATCAAATGATTTGAGTAATGCCAGACTCACATCAAGTGTCAAGCCATATTTATATTACCTCCATAAGTTGGTTCTCTGTCAAAGCAGATAAGCTAACGAGAACAGGAAACCTTCCAACAAATTCAGGTATTAAACCATAAGCAATCAGGTCACTGCTTTCCACCTGCCAACAACAGACATCTCATTATAGACTTCAATATAAACAAGAAGCTTTCAAACAACTAAGCTTTAATTTGACTGGTGAAGAGATGATAAAACATACAGTTTCCATCAGATTTGATGCAACAGCGGCATTTGTAACACCACCCACCCTCATGTTAGCACGTACAGGAGCACCAAACCCTATTGAAGAATCATGGCGCCTGGAATACCAAAAAAAAAAAGAAACATTCAGTTGACGTAGTTTGATGAGACAACAAAAAAGAAAGTCATACCTCTCTGAAATGGTCTTTTCGATGTCTACAAAAGCACCACCACATATGAAGAGTATATCTTTTGTGTCTATCTGCAGACAGTTGATAAGAAACAGATGTGAAAAGAGGAGCCACCTTAAACAACTCTAGAAAGAAAAGCTACATGCCATCTCCATTTAAACTCTAAATCCTAACACTCAGAACCATTATGCAAAGAACAATAAATTGGAAGGCGAAAAGAAACATATATACATATTTTATGTTATTGGCAAAGTGCATGCCAATAACATAAAGAGTAGCGTAGAGCACAACAAAACCTGGATATTGTCGCCTCTAGGGTGCTTCCTAGCTCCCTTCTCAGGTACATTAACGATCTATATCACAAAAAGAGAGAGAGAGAGAGTTAGAAATGGGTATAACCCACAAAAATAATTATTGAGATCTTAGTAAGCAGAGCTCTCAAAGCAAATAGTACATGGCTTAAAGTTTAAGCCTTAAACTGTAAACTTACTGTTCCTTCCAGCATTTTTAGCAATGCTTGTTGAACACCTTCTCCTGATACATCTCTGCTGATGTTAAGGCTCTCTGCCTGGCAATCAAAAAAGGTCCAAAGAACCCAAATTTATCCAAGGAAGCACAGAAATAATATTTAAAGTTACCAAACTAGCACATAGTTCTAACCTTCTTTGTTATTTTATCGACTTCATCAATGTAAACAATTCCCTGCTGTGCTGCTGCAACATTATAATCTGCTACCTGGAGAGATATCCAATACCACACATTAGAGATGAGCATACAGAACTAATTGTAGCAGTACAAAAAAAAAGAAATGTTTGGTTGTAGAAGATTACTGTGAGAAGTTTGTATAATATAGACTCGACGTCCTCTCCCACATAACCAGCCTGACAAATTATTTCATTTAACAGATTGGTCATCAACAAAAAGACATGCAGCTAAAAAAGGACTAAAAGAAGGGCGAGAGTTGCCTGAGTCAGTGTGGTTGCATCCGCAATGACAAAAGGAACATTCACAAACCGTGCCAGAGTTTTCGCAAGTAGTGTCTTCCCTGTGTTTGAAGAAAAAACATCAAAACAGATGAGGTGGAGGTGAATAGCGCTATATTGAAATGATATCTGTAGTATATCAGTGTATCCGGCTTGTGTTTCTTTTTTCTTTTTTTTTTTTGCGGATTGGGGTCAGAACATTACCTGACCCAGTTGGTCCCATCAGGAGAATGTTACTCTTCTCAAGTTCTACCATATCATCATCAGCTGGTTTCGAAGCAGTGCTATCGGTTTCTCCCGTGGACCTAGCTTCCCAACAAGTTTAAGCATCATAACTAACGATTCTCTTGCATAATACGTGGAATCACGATGAAACAAACAAATGCAAATTAAGGTGCATGCCAAAACTATGATATTCCCAATCAGAAATATGTTTACTTCAGATGCTCAGGTAATAATAAGCTGTACTATAAAAGATACTAGAAAACAAGAAATGTTTTATCAAAACACTGCATTCAGGTAAACTGACCGTTTTTGTAGTGATTCGAAATATATCCTCTTGTAGTGATTGTAAACTGCCACTGCAAGTACCTGCATCCACGAGATGACACAAATGCACGTTAAAAACTAGAAATCTTTAGCAAACCGAACAGAACCATAAATATAATTCAAGTATGCAAAACTTGGTGAAAACCGTAAAGAATACATTAACAAAACTAAACAAGAAATTAAACACTGGAGACGGTGAACACCTAAAATCCAGCATCAGATAACAATTAATATTCAGTGTTGTATTTTTTCTGAAAATAAGATAACTTTCTAATAACAATCCAACTAGAAACTAATCTCTGAACATTCAAATCCTAAAATGTTTAGCCACAAATGATGATTACACACAAGCAAACAAATATAGAACCGAATCATCAGGAAATCAGATGTTAATGAGCTACTCCTTATAAAACAAGATCAAAGTCTCAACATTTCACCTTTTTGGCTCTCTCCTGACCAATAACGAACTTGTCCAAACCTTTACAAATCTCCTTCGGTGTGGGAAAACTAGACCCAAGATTAGATCCACCCCAACAATCTTCCTTCGGGTTCGACCCTGCTGGTCCGTTCCCAGCACCGGGACTGCTTCCACCACCACCACCGCCACCGCCACGACCGAGATTAACACCGGTCGACCCATTAGCCCTAACGGAAAGTCCATCACTCGGAGGCTGCCACAGATCCGGTGGGTCTCCTTGGGAGCTCAAAAGAGCAGACTTTACACCACAGTTTGTAGAAAATCGTCGATTATCCAAGAATCTGGGTCCCATAGGCTTGAGAGACGCCATCTTGTTACGGTGATTGCAGTGAGGAGTCGCCGCCGTGTGGAGACGGCTGAAGAAGAAGTATCGAAAGTGGGAGAGAGTGAGAGAAGCGGTTTCTCTAGAGGCGTTTGACCTCAAAGCGGCGGCCATGGCACAGGGGAAAATGGGATGATCGGAAAGATGGTATCTAGCAATTGATTAACATAATCCGATGATCGAAGATGAAATTGAATAATTTGCCCCTTTTTGAGATGGGTATGTAAAGAAATGGAGGAAAGACTGAAACTTTGGGAGAGAAGAGGTGAAGTTGGGAAGCACACGTAAAGGATGAAGAGACGCAATTTCGATAGGGGAAGAAAACGTCTTGGAGAGTTTTATCTATTTCATCTTCTCCTGGTAAGCGTTTTTTTATATGAACGAACCCATCAATGGGAGGCCCACGATTTTCGAAACGTCGTCGTCTCTAGTTTGTTAACAGATTTATTTAACCGCCAGATAAGTAAATAACACATGGTCTTCTATTAGTTTTACTTTTATAATTAAGGGTTAACTACTTATTTCCACACCAGAACTTTTATATAGTAACAAATATACACAATCTTTCTGTCTTATTCTAATTGCACCAAAATTCAAGTATATAACCTTAATACCCCCTAACCAAAATTCAAGTATATAAAATAAACTTTATATTTATTAATATTTCACATTTAAATATAAAATAATTTATATGATTTATAAGACTCATTATTTTTGTTATCAAATAATTATTAATATATATCATAAATATATAAATATATTTTATTTTAAAATAAATATATTATATACTAATTTTATAATAATTATAAATTGTATAGTGCTAATACTCTACCAATCACTTTACTACAAACTTTAGTAAGAGCATACAATTTCTGCAACATACTGCTTTTGCAGCATACTGCTACTACTTTATCATCTTCTATACCAATCGAGGCATTAACCAATTATGACCCAAGATCTGATTTATTTAACCAGAAATATTATTTAACCGACTTTAAACCAATGAAATAACTGATTAGGATCTAATTATCTTTCTTAAGCAAATAATTTATAACCAGACCCGAAAGATCTATTAACCCGAAACTTGTACCGCTAGTTAACACCAAACAGAAATATAGGTTAAAAACCCCCAAATTGTGTGTTCTAATTTCATAAATCGAAAGAGAAAGTGAAGTTTAAGAGAGAAGATTAAACTCAAAGAGAGAAATCTAAAGGCGGAGATACAATATATTTATCTATAAAGAGATAGATGTATATTTGCAGAGAAGCTGCGAAGAAGATAAAGTTTTACAAAAGATATTAATTAAGTTTGTAAGGAAATAATAAAGTAAATGTGTAGGCTGGTGGTTAGCGCCTTATAATAAATTGACTTGCATCACAAGTACGAACCAAGAGGGTGTTTTTTTCTCTTAAATTTAAAGAATATAAAATGACGATTTTGTTCTTGTCTTCAACCTACTTTAAAATTTACAGACCCTAATTCAACATTTCATTCGTCTTTTCACGATTTATGGATGTAATATTTGACGAACCAGACATCACAAATTCCACTCTAGAAATTTAAACAATCAAATTTTTAAATTTGATTTTTAGGGTTCTTCACGCGTTCTTTTGAAAATTTAAAATGTCTAATAGGGGATTGGGTCGGATTAGATATTTGGATCTTCATTTGGGTCAGGTTTTCAGTTCAATTATTACACAAATTGGCTTAACACAGGTTGACATTCTAAACCATTAAAACCAACTCAACTATTCAGTTAAGTGGAAACGGGTTTCGATCTTTCTGATTAGGGGGTAATAGGTTTATATACTTGAATTGTGTGTAATTAGGATTAGGTTAAAAGATTATGTACATTTGTTACTATATGAAAATTCGGATGTGGAAATAGGTCATTTACCCTCTAATAAACTAGGTGTTTTCCTACACCATGTACATTGATAAATGAAAATATATTTACAATGAAATTTATTTTTATTTTTTATTTTTTATTTTTTTTGTCATCGAACAAAACAAACTCATGTAGACTCTACAAACCAAACTGGTAGCTCTGCATCCATGTGAACAACAAAGAACGATTGCTTTCTGGCACTGCGTGCAAGACTATCCGCCCGTGAATTCTGCGTTCGTGGTACATAGATGTTCTCTGAGCTGAGAAAACTATTTTTCAGCGTCTTGATATCCTCCAAATAAGTTGCAAATGCCGGCCATTCTTCTGGTTCCAACACCATCTCACCAGCTGGGAACAGTCCGTTGCAGAAGTAACATGATATTGACGCAAATTCCTCATACATTCCATTGCCAAAATTAACACCTCCACCTCCGAATGGAGGGGCGACATGCTTTCCCTGATATTTCGTGCTCCCATTAATCCCTGAAAACCTTCTAGTGTACTCCACCCCAACAATTATACATTTTTATAGCTACTCCAATATTATCTTCTAAATGAACCACATGAGAAGGAAGTGCATTTGAATGTCGTTTAAACAACATATAGAGTTTTAAGAGTGTTACTAAGAAAATGAGTCAATGAACTATTGAAACATAAATGAAGATAAAAAGAAAACAAAGATATATCGGTAAAAATGAAATTTATTAATATTGTATATTTTATTATTTTGACTAATATTTAATATAAATTTGATTTAATTAAGAACAAAATTAAGGAAAAATAAATTTGTTTATTTAAAATTAATAATATATATGTAATATATTTAAATTTGAAACTTAGATTTTTTATCTATTTATTTTGGTTAAATATATTAAATCTATTTATATAAAATTACTAAGAAAATTCATATAGAACTTTTTAGTTATTAAAAAAAATATTATATTATATATAGATATAGTATATCATGTTGTAAAAACATATAATTACATTATGAAAAAGTTAAAACAAACATCCACACAGTCTTTTCTTCTTTCTTTTCTTTTGAGGAAGAGGAGTTCCTTCCTCCCATAACGTAAGCTCTTGGAAAATGTACTCCACCCCAACAATTATATATTTTTATAGCTACTCCAATATTATCTTCTAAATGAACCACATGAGAAGAAAGTGCATTTGAATGTCGTTTAAACAACATATAGAGTTTTAAGAGTGCTACTAAGCAAATGAGTCAATGAACTATTGAAACATAAATGAAGATAAAAAGAAAACAAAGATATATCGGTAAAAATAATGAAACAAAAGCTTCTGAAAAAACAACAACAAGATCGTACCTCATCAAATACATGGTTAACGCCATCATATGAACTATATCAATCATTAGGGGACAAACCGGATTCTTTTTCCTTTAAGAAGTTTAGTACCGAGACAATTATTTGGATACCATCACCAGTAACACGACTTTGTAGACATCAAATATAAATACACATATATTTGATGTTTGTAATAAGATATCAGGTAAAGTCAGAACTATAAAAATTAACATCAAATATAATCACACATATACCTCATTGTAATGTTTCCACGATAATTTTTTTTCAGTGCTCAGTGCTAGTCATCTCATGAAATCGAATTAAATTATCATAGGGAAAATCAAATTTGGATTGCTATAATTGTGAAATTATCACATAATGCTGAAAATGCACTTAGTTTCCACATTTCAACAAAAATAGTTAATATAAACAACTTGAAAATTAAATATAAAAATAATTATAAGATTACCTTGTAATAGAAATTTAATGTATCATTTGAACAAATCAAGTCATAGATGTTGTCACTTTTATCAAGAATTCGAAGATTGTAACATGTAGGACACAATATAGTGAAAATTTTGAACTACAGAAATCAAATTAATACAAGAAATAGAACAATGTTGCATGGCATAAGTGGCAGCGTTTAATACATAGACAATCATCCAGTTAATAACCAATAACACAACTTTATCAAACATCAAATATAAACACACATACACTTATACATTCATGAAGTTTAATACATGTACAATCATTTCGTCATCACCAATAAAACAACTATGTCAAACATCAAATATAAGCACACACATATTTGATGTATGTAGCAAGATACCATATAAAGTCAGGAATCAAAACTATAAAAATCAACATCAAATATAAACACAAATATACCTCATTGTAATGTTTCCACATTGATTTTTTTGTTGTGCGCTATGCTAGTCAGCTCATGAAAGCGAGCTAACCCATCACTAGAGGAAATCAAATTTGGATTATTCCATTTGCGAAATTCATCACATAATGCAAGAAAATGCGATTGATTTTCACATATCCAAAATATTAATATAAGCAAATTGAAAATAATATATCAAAAAATAATTATAAAATTACCTTGAAACAGAAACTTAATCTACAAATTGAGTAATTGCAGTCATATATGTTGTCATTTATATCGAGAACTTGAAGATTGTAGCATGTATAACACATATAGCTCATCCTGAATCTGGAAAATCGTGTGAAAATTATGGACTATAGAAACTAAATCAATATCAGAAATAGATTGGAGAAGTGATCGATATAATACCAAGTGAAACAGCATACCACGATCTGAGCTTTATAAATAGTGAAAAATAACCCATAATTCCGAGGAACCAAAAGAAGAGACTAAGGTTTGCTTGGGTTTAGTGAGAGAGATATAGAGAGAAGCGTTAAAAACTACTAATATAATTTTTGCTGTAATTTTTTTTTTCCTTTTTTAAAAAAAAAATGCATATAAAGATCCATTAACTTTTACCAGATATGTATATTTTACTAACCTAACCTAAGTTTACTAGGATCAACCACCCACCCAGTTAAAATAGAGATTATTTGTTGAGACACCCTGAATCACCTCCCTAATTAGTAACTTATCTATGATGTGACTCTTCCAAATTAATTACCAGAATGTTCTTCTGCCTCTCTGCCTATGTGTCAGCCTACACCCACACATGCTTACTAGTAGGCAACTTTTTTTTAACTTTCTTCCAATTTTCTCTCATCTTCTCTCTTTATTTTTCTTTCTCTCTTTGTTTTTCTTTCTCAAGCTCTACAATTCACATCCAATCACTTTGTATTTTTACTATTATTCCATATTTCGTATTTAAATTATCTTTTGTCGATTGTTAGTATTTTATGTATGAACTAAATATTTTTTTAAATGTTTAACAGCAGTGCTAGCTGCTAACAAATACATGTACCAGATGTATTAATAGATGCATTAATTGATGTTATTTTAATGTTAACCATATTTGTAACATGTTAACAAGCTATATAACTGATTATTATTATTATTATTATTATTATTATTGTTATTATTATTATTATTATTATAATTATTATTATTATTATTATTATTATTATTATTATTATTATTTCA